CACAAAATCCTGTTTGAGGTAAATCTTCATTTATATCAGATGATGCACCTGTATCTAGCATAATTTAGCAACCACATCATTTATATAATTTGCTGTGATGGTCAGCACTGAATATTTTATTTGGCCATGTTGCTTTTTCATTGTTTTTAAGATAACTCGCATTTTGTTAGATTTTTTCAGATTTTGCTAGCGTGCTAGGATTATATAGGTTGGATTGTTTAGATTGTTTAGCAGGACAAAGGAGTCTGCAAAGGCACTTTCTGAGCCTGCAGTGATGTCACAGGAAGTGACGATGCTATGGCTTCTCCACAACCACAGCCCCAACCCTGTAGACAAGCAAGGAAATCTGCTGACATTTTTTTTTTCTAGGTATTAAAGCTGATTTTTTTTTTTATAGAAATGCATAGAATATTCAGTGTATATTCAATAACAGTGTAGGCCAGCATATTGCTGTGCATGTTTGCCAACAGTAGGTCTCGCATCTACTTTAGAACCAAAGTTGACTTTTTTTTCCTAGTTTAAAATCTTTGTCAATTAGGTGTCAAATGGGCTTGAAATCCATATGCTAATGCATGAAACTCTTCCTCCTTTTGATGACTCAAGCAGTATTTTCACATTTTGTAATATCCCTCAGTATGCCAATTTAGCATGTCGCATACAGCAGTCTGATGAATTGTATCCAATGTGATCAAAGTTTTTATGTTCATATTGCTCTGCAAAAACATCAGCACTTGCTAATATTTGTATAAATGGACTTGTTTATATGTTATCAAAAGAGGTCAGTGTTTTGGATTTCATGTATAATAACAAAAGTTGAAGTGATAGTGATATTTAGTGATATTTAAAAGAGAACTATAGGGTAACCTTTTTATCCCATGGTTCTCTTAAGGGTCACGGGAGGACATATTCTAACCTCCTCCAGTGACCCATAGGTCAGTATATAGCGAGCTATTGCTCAATACATATATATAGATCGCCACAGCCGGGACGTATCCCGACAATGCCGTCGAGATCCACCCAGCTGGCTGATTTGACAGCTGGCTTTGCCTATCTAAAGGCAAAGCCAGCTCTGCCCGCCCCCCTCCCCGTCCGTTCCTCCACTCAGCACTGGAGGATCGGAGAGGGGAGGGGGGAATCCCTGCAGGGAGATGATTGGAAAGTGTGCAAGCCACAGTATGGGTTCGCTCACTCCCCGATCTAGAGAGCCGACCTGTGACAGTTTCATTGTCACAGGTCGGCTCGAACCATGAGCTTCAGTAAAAATCACTCCCCTCATAGTTCTCCAAGTATTTTTCTGATATTTTCTAACAGCTGTAGACAATATCTACACTTTTTCCTGAGGTTTTAAAAAAATGATAGCCCAGTGTCAGTAGATGATCTGGTTTGTTTTTACTTGGTTCATTTCCTATTTACTACAGGAAAAAAGAAATGGAAATCAGAGAAGAGCACAGACACAGATTAATAGAAGTAGAGGAGGAACTCTTGCAGGAAAAAAATGACCTCTCTGAAAAACTGAAACTAGAAACGGAAAAACGATTGGAACAAGAGAGAGCTACTATCCTGCGTGAAAGAGAAGTTGTACTTAAAGAGCTGAGAACTAGGCTTGAACAGGAAATTAGGACGGTAAGTGATTTCTCATGTTTGGACTGCAAGTGCATTCTTCTCTCCATTAATTAGATCATCAGTTTTGAAACCAAGTCATTACATCAGAGGATATCAAGTTTAATCTCCCAACCTGCGATCTGTATATAAACGTTCCCCAACACAATGCCCTGTGCTGAGGTTCATTCATAAACGACCCCTGTTTGAGAATTTGTGTGGCCGGACAGTTTAGGTCCCCAGTGATGATTGGAAACCAGTAAGTGTGCTTCCTGAGCATTTGATTATCACACGCGCCCTGACATATGATCGCATGCAGGCTGGAACCGCCACTGAAAAAAAATAAAAGGCCTTTACCCTGCAGATGACCAATGCCACCTTCCAAACTGCTGTGCTGTCTTTTCAATACTGTAATTGTCAGAATCGGTTAAAATTTTAACAAAACAATAAATTAAGAAACAGAAAAAGTAAACTTTTCCCATTTGCCAACTTCTAATCATGAAAAACAGCAAGGTTTTTTGTTGTTGTTGTTAAACTGTGTACCAAATAAAGTCTTATGTGTTCTTAAAAATATATGATCTCTCTCCCTCCATTTCACCTTTTAGAAAGATTATTTGGATGTCATTGAACCGGTTTTTAATTTAAGGAGCATATTGATAAGCTTATTATGATGTGGTATATGACCCCTAATATAAACATATACTTTGCTTGACCAGCTCTCAGTTATGTTTGAAATATTGTAGTCAGATTGGTAATCTATATTTGGTGCCATTGCTCCTTGGCTCTGCGCCTCTGGAAACAAATGTTTTAGCTTTGTTTTCTAGAGTTCTGTCTACAACAATGACCACACTAGGTAATGCTCTCATGGAAGCTCTCAAGAAAACACAACATTTGACATAGCACTTCATATTATCTACAAAATGCTATTAGCAGGTTCACAAAGCACATCGCTGTGCTTTAAAAATGTGCAGTATTGTGCACACCCCAGGTTCTTCATAGGTTCTTCCTGTAGGAATCCCAGAATGCACATTCAATCCCCATGTAAATGTAACCTTAGTCTTATATTTACTTTCCATTCCCTCCCCAAGATCTTCATTGTGCATCCCTATGGTAGCTGCACACCAGCCACTGCTGAAATCATCTTCTGGGTCCTTTTTTGCAGACAATGCTCCCTAAAATGAGGGAAAATTCCACATTCAAGTTGTCACGGGAACAGGTTTTGACCTCCTGCTGTAGTGATAAATAATAAATGTTGGATTTACCCTTACTTTCTGTTCCTGGTAAAGGTTGTTAGTGGGGACAGAAGGCAGGGTGAATCTCCCCAACAAGGGACACCGACAGCTGTAAAACCTGTAGGAAAAGCAACACTGTAGCAACATGTAGGATAATATAGGCGGTAAATCCAGGGGACTGGCTGCTCATAGTTCCAAAGGGACTACCATCATTCCTCAAGCAGATAATATACAGATGAGGAAAGGAAAAACCACAAGCCTCCAGATAGGCATAAATTATGCATAAATAATACTAAACACTTGGGTGTTGTAATATAGTAAGAATATATTGGGGAAAAAAAGTACTTTCCCAGTCCATTGAAACCTAAAAAAGTACATTTTGTCTAGAATTCTTTTTCAAATGTTATTATTATATGTAGTATATATTTTCTGCAGTGCTTTTTTGTTTTCCTGTTGCTGTTCTAATGGCCTGCGTGGACTGTTAATTATGGTTTCATGGTGTTTTTCTGCTAAAGTGAGAATCTAGGCATCATATTGAGTACACAAAAAAGAAGCATCTAGGATCCAGCATTATCTTTGACTGGGCCCCCAATCTGGCAGAAGCCTGTGGCTTACGAATCGAGAGCAGATGTTCACTTCTTTCCTCTAAGGCCTGCTCACATTATAAACCTGCAGTGGATCTGAACAGGCTAAATTCACTGATGATTGTACAGAGATAGGACCTCAGGTGTATTGCTTATGCATTGGCAGTCTACTGCGCATTATTAGACTGGATTCCGTGAAACTACCAGAAAATCTTCCATCACGGCCAAGGGAAATGCATAGTACCCGTGCCAGAGGAAAAAGAATGGCTTCTGTTCTGTGACATAAACATGCAAATCATAAGAAAAACAGTACATTAATAGAAACATAACATAAGCTTAACCTCCAAAATTCATTAATCATTACAACTGCACTAAATTATTATAATACAGGATTTATATAGCACTAAGAGTTTGTGCAGAGCTTTACAAAATAAGGGGTTACAGTAATAATATAATTTAATACAGGAGGGTTAGGAAGGTCCTCCTTGTGAGAGATTACATTCTAAAGGGTGGACATTTTTTATAAACGGCATTAACTCTGAGGGATGACCTAATGGAGAAAGTGAAAATACAGTTTTTAGGTGGAGGCAGGATAGGCTTCCCTCAAGAGATCAGTTTTCAAGAATCAGACAGTAGGAGATAGCTGGACAGATTGGGATAGGGAGTTCTAGAGAAAAGAATAGGCTCTGGAGAAGTCCTGGAGGTGAACATAAGAGGAGGTGATGAGGGAGCTAGAGAATTTATACGGTAGTTGTATGAAATGCATGGCACAAAGGTAATAGCAGCATTTTTAACAGTTATATTAAAAATTGAGTTTGGAGAAGGCAGGAGATGTGAACAATCTAGGACAAAATAGCTGATTTTGAAAAATTCTCCAATTCAGCTCACTTTGCGGTTCAGCTATTTTGTCCTAGATTGTTCCCTTCTCCTGCCTTCTCCAAACTCTTCACCCTTTTATGAATAACCCTGATAGACTAATTTTGGGTGTGATCTTAGGTTCAGAATGATCATAATCAGTGTGCCTCTCCAGATATCTACAGTTAAACCTGTCTGATTTCTTGTTGGTGTCTGCTTACTGATTTTGTTATACTCATGGAATGTAGGCCATTGAGTTAATGGAGAAGAACCATGTGCTGGAACTGGAGCAACTCAAAGCAGCAGCTACAGAGAAACATCAAAAGGTGGGAACAGTATATTATTTATGTTCACATTCTGTTTATTTGTTGTTCTCATTTATAGCGACAATGATGCCATCTTGTTTTGTCGCTGTGTTCCATTAAATGTTGCTATTCTACCAGGTTAATTTGATATGAAACAATTCCTCACTTGTGATTTACCCATAATATTTTTTTTCACAGGAAATGTCTGATCTGCAGGATACCAAACCTTTGGTAGAGGAGGCAGACGTTTCTCAAGCTCCAAGTAATTTATATCTCGCCAATAAAAAAAAGTCTCACATCTTGGATTTTGAAAAAGAGGTAACTACCCTTCTATGTAGTTTGTAATTGAAAACCAGGCCATCATTTTGATATGCTCTCTGAACCAAAATGTTACGAGCTTACATGAAGCTGTGAAGATAAGTGTAAAGAAGAAGGGTAGGGAAAGTAAGCACAACCTTTTTTTTAGTTTTAAGTTGCGAGAACTTTTGATGATAAGCCACACTTATTTCCATTCATTTCAATCCTGTTTGTATGTATAACGGAAGGAAGGTTAATTTGTGGCTTCACCTATTTTGTTTATATGATGCTCGGTGACAGTTGAGCCGATCACGCACACCCTCCCTAGTGCAGCAATAGTTATAGGCAGAAATCTTTGTGAATAAAGTAGGATTTATACCTGACATTTCTAAAATACGCTTAAACTTGTATTACTATATATAAGAAACTAAGTATAATGTCTATCTCTTGTAGTTTGCAAAAAAAGAGAGTTTTTAAATTTGCTCACTTTGTACAACAATCCTACATTTCATTTGCTTTTATATTTGTTGTGGTAGTTAATACAAAAGCAATAGTATATTCATTTATTGATTTATTTAAAAAAATAATAAATCTTATTCACAATTTGTAATGACTTCATTTGTGGCTTAATATCTAGATGAGTGATCTCCTGCTGGAAAAGCGTAATGAGGTACAGAGGGAACATGAAAGGCGATTAGAGCGCATGAAAGAGGAACACAGACAAGAAATGGAAAAAGTGCGGAAGCAATTTGAAGAAGAGGTATATATTGCTCTACAAATGATGTGGTGTTTTTTGCACAGTAGAGCACAGTGCCAGCAGGAAGCTGGTTAAGAAATGCTTTTTTAGATACCTATCCAAATAAGTCCCCTACCAAAGCTGAAGGGACATGTAGGGAGTACTACATTACGTGTAGACTGCCATGTTATTTGCATAGGTATCCAATGGAACATTGTGTTAAGATTTTTTTTGGCATTATTAGGTTTTGTGAAATTACTCTTTTGGCACATGCTGGCCAATCATTTTTCCGATGAGGTCCATCATGCTGAAATTGTACTGCCGACATGTAGGTGTTTAGATTCAGCAAACAATGTCTGACCCAGCTGATGGGACATACATGTACAGGCCTGCCATGTAAAATATTTTATAATTTAAGCATCCATTCTTTATTTGTATTGGATTGCATTGGGGTGTAATTATGCCTCAATAGTTTGTAATTTTTCACATTGCCTGCCTAAAGTGTAAGCCGAGCTGAAAGTTTAATTTTCTAATTGAGGCTAGAGTGAGGGAAGAATTATAGCCTCTGTAAGGTTTTCAGTGCTATCCAAGGCTCCGTTAGAGAATTTTCCCCTCACTGACTTTCACAATGGCAACATTTTATCACATAGAGATGCCTACAGCAATAAAAAGCTGACAGGGGTTCCAGCCTCCCCCTACTCTATTAATAAAAAAAATAATTGTATGTCCTGAAAGTGTGACAATGGCTGCAAATTCATGTCTGTCGTTTGTTCTTTTCTAGGAGCAGACCCAAAGGTCACAGATGCTGGAAAAGTTACAAGAGGAGTTAGGGAAGTTGGGCAGACAGCATGAAAATGAGGTTCAAATCCAACGAAAGGAGCAGGAAAGACATCTGGAAGAGAGGCAGCATAGCTACAAGGAGAAGGTAAAATCAGATTTTGCATTATACCCCCATCCTTAAAAACAAATACGTGTGCAAGGTAGAGACATTGCTCAATGCTATGGATAATGTTGACTTTAATTTTTAAACGTTTACAATTATAACTGACAGTGCTGTGGATAATACTGCAGCTTTCCTTTTTTGCAGTTTTTATACATATGGTATGAAATTTCATTGCACATAGGTCTGACACCGAATATGCAGTAAATATGCAGTGCAAGATCTCGCTTACTTTTGCTCTTGTATGTGTAGGAAAAAATTATAGAAGATTTGGAACAAAACCAAGAAATTAGAAGAAAACAGCTTGTGGTAAAGAAAAGCCAACTAGACCGTGAGGTAAGAAGAGGAAATTAAGTAGCATAGATGGGAAATATGCACATTAATTTAAAGTGGACCTGAACCCACAAACTGGGGATTTGCTATCTTATAAAGAACATCCAGAAATGGTAGTTTTGGCTAAGCAGTACCCTGAAAATGAACCTTATCTCTTATCTCTCTCTCTCTAAAAAAATATCAGTCTACTCCCTGTGCCTTGGTACTCATTGGTACTCCTGTGCCTTGAGCTTCATGTTTGTATATGCACTGTGAGATCATCCACTGCCTCTGTTAGGCTGGCCACCCACTGGTTTAATTTTTGACCGTGTCCTGCTGACTTGGCTAAAATTTGATCAGTATGTGGCCCTGGCAACCAAACACTGGTCAACAAATGTTAATTTCAATTGACTTTTGGCAAAGGAGCCAGTCTTAAAATTCTCGGCTAAATGTTAACTGCATCCTATCAGCTGCTGCTGAAATTTAGGTATTCTGACAGCAGCACCAGGCGTGGGGAATCAAGCATTTTTTTCTCACTCAGCCTGTGAGGCTGAATGAGAAAAAATGCACATTGTATAGCCAGCTTAAGTAAGAAGCTGTGGAGCGAGATTTAGTGATGTCATCACTGTGCTGCTCCCTGTTCTCCATGTTGAGGACCTGTAGTGAAAGGATTTCTCTGCTTAATTCATTCTGTGAATTTGTGTTTTCTGCACCTCTCCTAATGCATCTTGCTTATCCCCCCCACCAGTCCTCAGATCACCATTCTACAGGCGGATCTGAAAATATGAAGCAGAGTTCTGATCCCTTATCTAGGAGGCTGACAGTGTAGAACACAGCAGGAAAGCCAGTCAGGCTCCGTTCACACATATTCAGCGCAGTTTTCCGCGTGTTTGTATGCGCTGCATGAAAATGTGCACATTTTAACATATGCGCAGTTTCCACGTGTTTGTGGCTACTACTATAGCCGGAACGTGCGGAAGTCACCCAGAATATCACACTTGTACTTTTTTGTGCAATACGCGATATCGTGTTGTGCATATGACACGCAGGTGTGACCAAGCTACATAAAAATGTGTTTGTTTTTGTGTTTTGCATGTACACACGGAAAACCGCTAATGTGTGAACAGAGCCTTAAGGGGAAAAGATCACCTACAAGAAACCTAAGGGCAATATTGGTGACCAGCCCTTAACCCTCTGCATTCCTTTTTTGGGCAAAGCTTCCACAGTTCAGGCCCTCTTTGAACACATTGGACTGGGAGGAAATTAGGGCAGCCCAGTATAGCTAAAATATATTAATCTTGTGTTCTTACTTCCTGGCAATGGTCTGTTTCATTGGTTCATTTCAGGCCAGTCAAAACATGGGAATACAAAGCATGTTAGAAATGAGGTGCGATGAATACACCTTTCAAGAGAAACCTAGGCGTTCACTACAAACAAACATCCTTTCTATTGTCAGACCATCAATATGCTTTCTGCTTGTTAAAGAAAAAGGGTAGAACATGTTTCTAATAGTTTTTTTTAAATATAACTAAAAATAAAACGAAGAGTATTTGGTTGATTTAGCAGATTTTATTTGTCCGATATACAGGAAGAAACATTAAGAAAAATAAAGCAAGAACTTGCAGAGAAAGAAAAGGAACTAGAAAGAAAGACCGAGGTGAGCAAATGTGTTTAGTGAGTATATATACCTAGATATACATCCAAAACATGGTATCAATTGTTTTATTTTTTTCCCCCTATAAAGAATTTTAATGTGCAGGAAAGTGCATTAAAAGAGCAAATACGCCTAAATGATGTATTAAAACAAACACATAGAGAATTGGAGGTGATGCAAGACCGGAAATCTGAGCTAGAAACCCAAGTGGAGAAACTCCACAGCCTCTACGCTCACCTTCAGGAGACCACAAGGTAACACTCAGGACTCTGCACTGCAGACACTTTCTTTTTGTTGTTTTTGTTGTTTTATTTTTTTAACAAAACTTCAGGCAGATCTAAAAGATCCAAATTCAGTTCTGTATAATGAGAGAACCAGCACAAAGAGCTGCTAAGTTATGCTGCTGTCCTCATGCTCCAGCAAGGCACTCGCTGATATGAAGAGAGAGGAGAGCAAGGCCTGGTTCACACCTGTGCGTTTTGTAGCGCGTTTAACGCTCTACGAACGCTCTACAAAACGCTCAAACATGAAAATCCCATTGTTTTCTATGGGTATGGTTCACACCTTGCCGTATTTCAGCCCGTCTGAACGCGATACAAAGCGGCCTACGCCTGAAAAGGTACATGAGCTTCTTTGCGGCGCTTTTGTCGCGCGTACATAAAAATGTGTTTGTTTTTGTGTTTTGCATGTACACACGGAAAACCGCTAATGTGTGAACAGAGCCTTAAGGGGAAAAGATCACCTACAAGAAACCTAAGGGCAATATTGGTGACCAGCCCTTAACCCTCTGCATTCCTTTTTTGGGCAAAGCTTCCACAGTTCAGGCCCTCTTTGAACACATTGGACTGGGAGGAAATTAGGGCAGCCCAGTATAGCTAAAATATATTAATCTTGTGTTCTTACTTCCTGGCAATGGTCTGTTTCATTGGTTCATTTCAGGCCAGTCAAAACATGGGAATACAAAGCATGTTAGAAATGAGGTGCGATGAATACACCTTTCAAGAGAAACCTAGGCGTTCACTACAAACAAACATCCTTTCTATTGTCAGACCATCAATATGCTTTCTGCTTGTTAAAGAAAAAGGGTAGAACATGTTTCTAATAGTTTTTTTTAAATATAACTAAAAATAAAACGAAGAGTATTTGGTTGATTTAGCAGATTTTATTTGTCCGATATACAGGAAGAAACATTAAGAAAAATAAAGCAAGAACTTGCAGAGAAAGAAAAGGAACTAGAAAGAAAGACCGAGGTGAGCAAATGTGTTTAGTGAGTATATATACCTAGATATACATCCAAAACATGGTATCAATTGTTTTATTTTTTTCCCCCTATAAAGAATTTTAATGTGCAGGAAAGTGCATTAAAAGAGCAAATACGCCTAAATGATGTATTAAAACAAACACATAGAGAATTGGAGGTGATGCAAGACCGGAAATCTGAGCTAGAAACCCAAGTGGAGAAACTCCACAGCCTCTACGCTCACCTTCAGGAGACCACAAGGTAACACTCAGGACTCTGCACTGCAGACACTTTCTTTTTGTTGTTTTTGTTGTTTTATTTTTTTAACAAAACTTCAGGCAGATCTAAAAGATCCAAATTCAGTTCTGTATAATGAGAGAACCAGCACAAAGAGCTGCTAAGTTATGCTGCTGTCCTCATGCTCCAGCAAGGCACTCGCTGATATGAAGAGAGAGGAGAGCAAGGCCTGGTTCACACCTGTGCGTTTTGTAGCGCGTTTAACGCTCTACGAACGCTCTACAAAACGCTCAAACATGAAAATCCCATTGTTTTCTATGGGTATGGTTCACACCTTGCCGTATTTCAGCCCGTCTGAACGCGATACAAAGCGGCCTACGCCTGAAAAGGTACATGAGCTTCTTTGCGGCGCTTTTGTCGCGCGTTTCCATTGGGATACAGCCAAGTAGACCTCGGAAACGCGCGAGCGTTTTTTTTTTTACCGCGAATCGCGGTAAAAACGCCCGCCACGGAGCGCGCGACAAACGCATATTTGATACGCCTAGCTGTGAACAGAGAAAGATGAGATAATCAGTCTGCTGTGTCCCCTTTCACTTGTCAGTCACAGCCTGGTGGAGGAACAAGATCTGTTAGTGTTATGTAACTGCAGTAGAGAAAAATCAGATCTTCTTCCATGCCAGAAAGGTCTATGCTGTGTGACACAGCTATGAAAATCACAGGACTGGATGAACAGAAATGAAAAATCCTTTGGCAGGAAAAGCGATTTCCTTTTATGTATTTTATCTGTGTATTTAGCTGTTTGTCTGGAGATTAGTTTTAATTGCAGAATTATAAAGGCAAAACATGTTTTAGATTTTTGGTGAAGGGGTAGAACCCCTGCCAGGCTTTATTGCCAAGTCCTTGTTAAGAAGAATTACTCTCTCTAATTGTGTCACCAGAAATGAAAGTGGGGATACATCGAACATTTTGAGTTGCCACTAGAACAGGAACAGAGGAGAAATCATCCAGTGGGGCAACTATTCCTATGACAACTATAAGAGGAGAATTCCCTCACATTGGAAAGCTAGCCTCTCACTTCCTGCTGATGCTAGAGGACAGGAATTGAAGAAACATCTCCTAAATGAGATACAGATACACACAAAAAAAAACTGCCGTTTTTTTTAATCTTCCCTTTGTCTACCCAAAATGAAAAAAAAAAAGTGTTGCCTTTTAAATATACTTTAACTCCGAACTGTCCAGACCAAAACCATAAGAAAATGGTCTTGTGTGCACATAATATAAGTATTATATCACAAAATGTTTGTGACATTGTAGCTAAGCAATATAATAATTTCTTCTTAGTGACTTGGAGGGTGAAATAAAAAGCAGACATGAGAAACTGAAAGAGTTGAGCAACGAAGAATTGATGAATAAAATAGATTCGGAACTTCATCTTGAGGATCTGACGAAGATGAACAGCCCCAATCATACCTCTAACATTCCTGTAATTATATCCTTTATTTTTTTATATTATTACACCCTAGCATGTACAGTAGTTTCAGTGTTGGAGGGAGATCAATATGTTTTATTAAATATACACCAAAGTACATCTTCTTCACTGGTTCCCATTCTGAAAACCTCTGCTTGAGATCTCCACTTTTTGAATCTTGGAGTTGGACCCTACATTGCTTTAGGGGCCACAATGATAAAACATGTATTCTGATAACTGTAAGCAGTTAGTACATGAAGTAATAACATCTAGTATATGAATTTCTTTTTTTATTTCACGTGCTAGTTTATTTTTAGTTCCCCACGTTTACATGCAGATCAAACGTGCAACAAAAATGGTGGGACAGAAATAAAGGCAAATTATAATACTGCCAGGGGTGTTTGAGACGTTGCAGCAGCCTTTCTTTTTTATGTATTTTAAGTAAAAATGAACCATTAAACATTGCAAGCATGAAGGTCTTTTTTTATTGCAGACTAGACATACTATGGCTTCTCTGCTTAAAGAGATTTATAACTCCCTGTTCACACTGCTCAGTGTACATTCTTGATATGCCATTGTGCTGTGATAAAGGCTAGGGATGTCTTGATACCGATACTGGGCATTTTTAGGAGTAGAATGCTCCGATACTAAAGGCCCATATCAGCCCTTTCAATTTTTAAAAGGGATCGGCTGCCACTGTCCCACGCTTGTGGGGACCTCGGCAGCCTACTTGGGACCTGGCTGTGGCTGTCCTTGGCAGTGCCTGTCCGGCCCCATATCTCTTTCCCATCCTTCCCGGCGCAGGCACATCCATGGACAGCCCTACACCGAACAAACAGCCCCGAAGCCGGCAGAAGACCAGCACCCAAACGTTCAGCCCAGCGCCCGCCCACATGCAACCTGGTGACATCTGTATGTAACCTGGTGAGACGCAAACATAGCCCTGGTGAGAAACTGCCTTAAAATCATTAGTCTGTATTGTTTTAGAAAAAGTGTCACATGTCTCTTTGAGAAAAAGTATCAGTAATTGGTATTGGCAAGTTCCTGGTCTTAAAAAAATGGTATCAAACATCCTAATAAATTTGCTTTCTGTGCACATGCATTGAAGTTAAGTCATCCCAGGCTGGCCAATAAAAATGGCCAAAGATGCCGAACCCTGAAGAAGCCTGGACAAGATGTCGACGCCAACTAAGGTGGACATTGCATCACTGGAGGGAAGGTGAGTATAGTGGCCTCTATTTCCGCTATAAAGAATGTGAATAAAAGGGTGCCCTGGTAATAGTGTGTACAAACTCTTCTCAATGTAATTTTTGCTCAACCACCTAGTCTGCATAAAAATGTGAAAACAAATATAAATAAAGGAATTCATAGTCTGAATGCTATTATTACATGTGTTGATTGTATGCAGAAATCAGAATAAAATTTTTTTCTCTCTCGCTATAATGGTCCTTTTTAAGGGGAGTTTTGTTTTACCTGTAGTCTTTTAATAGCAAGAACATGATGATATTTTACACCACAGAAGTCATGAATGAGTTTTATAGGTTTAGAACATCGCATGCTGTTGGACAAAGGTGGGCAGGATATATTGCATGCCAGGTCAAAAAAAAAAAAAAAGTGATCTATGTAATGGATGCCCATTTCCCCATTTGTTGTGTCTTTAAAACTGCTACAGAAAAATACCTATTGATCTGCCAGAAATCCAGTCAACTCCTAACATCCTGTTTGAGATGACAACACCTGCTTTTTGCGGTACTGAAATCAGAAACAGTGTTGTCATCCTTGCCTGAGTGATTCTCTGGAGGACTATAGAACACCTCTCAAGGGATAGTTGTTTTATAGAAAGAATGTTGTGGAGAGGGGAGCATACTCTTTAAAACTGCTATTCAAATGCAAACACATGTGTTTGAATGGCAAACGCAGCATTGACAAGAAAAGTCTGCATTTGACCTGCTTTGTCTGCAGTTCAAATGCACCTAAATAGGACATGCTGCAACTAATTTTCTAGATGAAAAAAGTTAATGAACAATAATGTAAATGGTGTTGTTTTATATTAGATGGATATATTCCTAAAGTCATTTTGTCATTATAAGACTCTGAGGCAGCCATTTTAGTCCTCCTCCTGAAAATGCTAGATGCCTGCCTGAGTCAGTGATTTCAGTGGGTAACAGTCATAGTCATTGTATAAGCGTGCTGAAAATGAGTGTCAGAAAAGTGTCAGAACTGCTAATCTCTATACTGGTTCCAGGTCAACACTTTAGACAGTGTTAGAGCCCAGGCATCAGAATGACAGCCAGGGAAGTAGTATACTCAAAGGAGTATTCAGCAATGACATTCTTATTAATCTCTTATGACTGTGTCCTTTTTTTAAATGAAACATTTTTTTAAATCTGAGACCAGTTCTAATAAAGATTTTGTACAACAAAAATGAGATTATATTATATCTAAATTCAGGAACTAAATGCAATATAGCGCAGTTTACCAGTTTACCAGTCCTTGAATGTGGTGGCTGCCTTTTCCCTTTTTAGGTGAAAAGAATACCTGAAGGCTAAAACTGAAATCCCAAACGGTTGTTTGCCTGCCTAGCTATCTTCTGTGAAATACAAGGCAGCCCCCCTTGTTGTAACTCAAATGAGGATGGGGGGAGTGTTTTGTAGTAGTTTTGGGTGGCAACGCTGCTTCTCCATAGCACAGCACAGTACAGTCAGTGAGCATTTTTACTGTAGAGCAGGAAGTGTGTACAATTTTTCGGCTTTAAATGCAGTTTAATGTACTTGTAAACGTAATTGCTATCATTTCCGGTGAGCGTTAACATGTTATTGTAATTTAAAAGGCATTTTTGTTGCCACATTTCATTAAAACATTACTTAGTAATCCTGCTATGAAGGCCTTTGTTCAGGCATTTCGTATTATAGAGTTACAATACTCTGTGCTGGTCTCCCAGTTGTGCTCCTGGGTTGTCACTCTGTCACCAAACTTCCAGTGGAGACTACAAGCGGCTATGCTAGCACACATTACACAGGCATGGTCCACTGTTGTCACCATAGGGAATCCTGGCTGCATAGAGGCTGTAGGAGATGATTTGCAGCACTGAGATCACACACAAAGCTTTAACAAACTATATTCAATGTATTTAGGTTTGAATTCTACTTTTCCCAATTTTTACAGTATCAAACAGACATTCCAAGACCATTCCTGTCTTCTACACCAATTCCAGCAATGCCCTCTGCCGTGGATGAGTAAGTACCACTGTTTACTGGTGTGTTAGTGTTACAATTTTGCTTTTGTGTTCCATTTAAGTTCTGATTTGCACTGCAGTATATTTATAACAAAAGACTTGTCAAATTAATAAAAGGAAAGATGGCTGCCAATCAAGAGTTCCTTCAAATGTTTGTTGTACATGTTTTCTTGTTCATCTGCTAATGGTGACCTTCTTGTGAGAATGAAATAATTTTAATTGGTTTTACAAGTTTAGTTTCTCAGTTAACATCATTACAAAAATAACATTAAAAGAAAGATCAACTGGTTCACCCAATTGTCTTTGAATGAGCTTGTTTGCTTTTTGTATAATCTTATTTTATTAAAGAAGAACTCAGGAAAATGTTTTCTTAACCCTTGCAGTGGGGCTACCTCTGCACTGCGACAGATAAGTGTTAGTTTTTGTGTAGGTGCTAAAATAACAAAGTCATACTGACCCAAAGCTCCAAGCCGGCCAGCTGTCACAGCAGTCAATCCTGCTTGTCTTCTCCCCCACTGCAGCATTGGAATGTTCCTCTGCACCCTCACATCTATACACTGTGTATAGAACATGATGATTTACGGGACCTTAGAGCGCTGCGGAGGAGGGGTAGCGAGGCAGAAGTGACTGGTCTAGGAACAAGTCGGCTTGGAGCAATGGGTGTGTATAATATTTATTTATTTTTAACCTAGACACAAACAAGCAGGTAAAGTGCGGGGTAGCCCCACTGCAAGGGTTATTACATTTTTTTCTGGAGTTCTTCAAGTTTTGAAATGTAAAACATTATAAGAATAGAAAACTTGGGGTACAATCAGTAACATATACATATATTAAAGTTATTACAGCTGTAGATATTCCCATAAATGCTCATCAGTCAACATGAGGACAGTCTCAGAGAGGTGAAGATGATGAGGAGGGAGCTAACATTGTCAATTTCAGTAAAGGAAAGTGTGTGAGACCACCTTTGTATGGTACAGGAAAGGTGAGATTTAGAGTGTACACTTCCTATAGGTACAGGGTATAGTAAGGTTAGGTTTAGTGTAGAGCTGAAATGTGGAAAAGGTGGACTAGGTAAGGGGAGGGGATGTTTGTTTCTATCTTAGGTGCACCTAGGCTCAGCCAACCGTATCCTTCCTGCAGTGTGAGACAAGCAAGCTGTGAATCGCATTGTACTTGCAGTAAGCCCTCTGCAGCTGCTCTTTGCCCATGGTTGCCTTGTTATCCATTCCACAGTGCTATATGGCTGCGAGGCAACTGCCATGGAGGTGCAAGACATCACCAGGCAGCTTTTCCTGCTCCTAGACCCTACTCCTGATGACATTTTTAGTGCAATCCAGGAATCCGCAGCAGGAATGGGCAGAATATTCTTCTGATGATGTCAAAGTCTTGATAGGCTCCTAATAAAGCTAGAAGAATTGAGGGTACCTAGATACTGTTATATGTGCAGTAGTGCTGTGCTGCTTTTCATCAGAAATACTATGCTAAAGATTTCTTATTGTTTTTAACTGAAAGCTTTGTAACATTTACAAGTGGTAATGAATTCCGGCTAGACAGACACACTTTAGGTTCGTTTTAAATACGTAAATGGCAAAAAGTGGCGAGTCAACAATTTGTTATGCTGAAGACTACTTCTGAAACAACCTTTATATTGGTTAAGTGCTGGAAAGGGTACTAAAGAGAGTAACTATAAAATAGCAGCAAAATCCAGATATCATAAAGTTGGTAAGGGGCATCTTTATAGCGCAGGGCAGATACTGCTATCCATTCTGCAGTAGACATTGCAGTGTTAGTCCATACCACAGCTCTGATTTTACTTGCTATGCATTAAATGAAGGCAGTGGACTGGCGCTTGCTGTATCCCACATCCTTCTCTCTGCTTAATGATGTCACAGAGAGAACTCTAATTGGAGTAGAGCCACTCACATGAATTCTGGACGACTGTCGGCTTTACACTGGAAGCAATTCTGGTGGCTGAGCTGCTGCCAGTTGATTTCAACAGGACCCCCTTCCCCCCTCCCCCTCTCCCCCCCCCATGCTCCAGAGTGAGAGCAATAATTGCAGGGCCAACATTCACAGATATCTCTAAACTGTTTTAAAGACTGGTTTATACCGTCAAAAAAGGAGATCCCAGCATAAAGCAAAAACATATCAAACTATACATCAATATATATCACACATTTTTAATCTTACAGGAAAAAACATAATTTAAAAAATACAAACATCTAAAAAGTCTAAAATGCTTCCAACCCCATGCGATTGGGGCTGGTAGAGGTAAGTAACATATGTAGCAGCTGATATATCATTAGTTCCGCAGTAGATCCAGTGCTTGAGATCTCATTGTAACAAAGCAGCTTTTGATGTGTTGCTCCAATGTCTCTTTGTCAGTACACATATATTCAAAGCATTGGGTTTGCACAAGGCTGGAATCAATATTTATCTTTGGAGCAGTGACTTTAAATCAGCATGGATATCCATCAATGGATCTCTAAACTGTTGACCCGTATGGCCTTTGAAAGCGTCGCCTATGGACAATTTGGGTTGCCGCATTTTGTCGCCATTTCACATACAAACGCAATCTTTAACATTGGCGTGTTGGGTATCTGTTTACTCATCGTATCCTCATCTTTTATATTTGACAAAAAAAAGTGTATTATATTGTGTCTTCGAGCACTAGATATTTGGGTTTGATAAAGAGTTGCACTAATATCGTGAGACATACAAATTTGCAACTGCCATCATTTTATTCTACAGCGTCTTTGCTTTCAGAAAATATTTAAAGTTTGGGGGTTTTAAGTAATTTTCAGGCCTAAAATGTGGATTATAACGTGTGCAAAAAAACACAAAAAAGGCCTTGGCAGCGAAAGGGTTAACGGTCAAGCTGTTGCCCTATAGCCAACTCAACAAAATTATGAAAGTCAAGTTCCTTGTTACCCAAGATCATGTTTTAAAATCTTTGGCCTGTCTGAAGCAAGCAAAATGTGAATATCCTTCTGCTTCTGTATGTAGCCAGAAAAGGCAGGCCTTTGGGTGAGCATGCACTCTGGTAACAGAATGTATCAAGGTGAACCACCTTCCATGCTCATCTTTGAACACTTCCCTGCAGTCTTGAGGGCTTGTTCACACCAAATGCAGACCAGATCTGCATGAGTTTCTACACACGCAGTGCAGTGTGTTATACTGCGTTTTTTGCCGCGTTCTTGGGCTTTCAGTGCGTTCCAGTGCGTTTGTTTGCGCTTTTGATGCGTTTGCATGCGTTCCAGAGCAGGTAAAATAGGGCTTGCTGCGTTTTTTTTTAATGCTCTGGAATTGAACGCTGCCGTGTGAACTAGAGCCCAAAATACCATTTGGAATACATTGGACTCAGTTTTGATCCAGTCTGTAACTACTCTGCTCCTGGAACGCGCTTGGTGTGAACAAGCCCTTAAAGGATAATTATGAGGCGAGTGATTTTCACTCAGCCTCATAATCTGAGCCGGCCTGTGACAATGAATCTGTCACAGGTCGGCTCAGTAGATCGGGAAGTGAGCGAACACATACCGTCGCTCGCTCACTTCTCGATCTATCCCTGCAGAGAGCCGTGACTGTCACTCACGGCTCCCTGCAGGGACCCCCCCCTGTCCGATACTCCAGCGCTGACTGGCGAAACGGACGGGGGAGGGGGTGGGCACAGCTGGCTCTGCCTCTGGACAGGCAGAGCCAGCTGTCACTCACGCAGCTGGGTGGATCCAGACAGTATTGTCGGGATCCGTCCCGGCTGCGGCGTCTCCGTATACCGTGAGCTGTAGCTCGCGGTATACTGAGCTTTGGGTCATGGGAGAATGCTAGTTTGTGTTCTCCCGTTACCCTTAGGAGAACTATGGGGAAAAGCCCTGACCCCATAGTTCTCCTTTTAAGGTAGAACATTTTATAGCAGAGATCCATAAAATGTTAAATTTTGTCTCCCTCTTTAGCATCTAAAATAATTGATACTTGATGAATTCTAGTCTTTTTGGTCATTGAACTTGTACCTGTCATGCTTCCATCTTTATCCCACTTAATACATTTTAGTTGGGTTTATGTACCTAATGTTCATGTCAATATTTTTTGTCTTTTAATAGCTTACGTTATTACATCTCCTCCCAAGGAGCATCTATACATAAAGCTAAAGATTTTTTACGGCTCCAGACCCATTCTATGTGCCGACGGCAGACTTTGCTTAAGGCGGCTAAACAACAGTGGCGTCACAACATGCATGAGGGCCAAGATTCAGAGCAAGCTCACCAACTAGAAGGCATCAGGAAGAACTTAGTGGAGGTAATTTTATAAATATTTAACAACTACTAGTTCACAAGGACAGTTCTGACTCCGATTTATGAAATCTAGTGCAGGGGGAAGTGGTGGGGGTGTTGGCCATCATAACATCCCAAGTTTGTTTCCACGTTTCTGTTGCAGTTTAGAAAATGAGACAAAGAATTGGATTGGTTGCTAGAAGTGACTGCTCCATTTGCACTGGTTTTCAGAAATGACTGTGTGGGACATTGTAAATATCCCTGTACAGCATTGGTTAATTCAAACACATCTAGCTAAAATTAACATAATTCTAATCCCCAGTGTATTTGTTTTCTGTTGTCGATTCATCTTCAGTATGTACATGCTGTCACGTAAGCCATCTTTATCTACGTACATAAGTATTTTATACTGACTCAGTTAAGCAGCAGTGCTAGCTGTAGCTGACTTCTTTTGATCTGAAAATATTCCCTATTCTTTACACAGAGTATTAGTCATGCAACCATGTTGTTGCAACTATAAATTGCTCCTTGTCATACAATACTATTAAATCATGTTAGCATTGGTTTATTAGATAACTTATCTTTAACTAGGCCAGTATTTACTAATTTTTGTGTTCAAGTAATTTATTATTTAAAATTAAATGACTTTACTTTCAGCTTCACACGGCAGTTTCTGAAAGACCTGTGTTTAAGGCGATCCTATTTTTTGTCCATGCAATTTACACCTCCCCAGCAACACATGCTTTTCATCCCTCCCTCTCTGTTCCATTGAGACATTGGGAGCAAGGAAAGCAAGCCTTATGTAGGCTCTGTGTTGTTCTATTTAGAGCTTGCAGTGGGTTTTTGAACTGTCTGCCCATCCTCATGTGACAGTACTGGGCCAATCACCAGCACATGCTGCTCCATACTCAGAAGTATCAGGTATTTTCTTCCCTCCAAACTAATTTTGTACTGCTTAGTGGTGGGTGGGGGTGTCACACACACTTCCTCTGTGCCTTTGTTGTGAAATTTGAAGATGACTTGCTCCACGCTACAGGGGTGAATGGGGGCTCATTTTAAAGTGATTTTGCTGCTTGTTGTGAATATGTACAGTACATATTTTAATGTGAATAGACTAGGCACAGGTTCTTTTTAAGGTATCCTTACAGAGTAGAAGACCTAATCCTGCATATGTTGACAACTATGGGTAATAGCGAACCTCATTAAATACACCAGCCGAAAGGAAATCCATCAAAGCTGGTTTCTCCTAGCCATATATTTTGGTTTTCGTGAGATAACACTTGTACTAGGGGGGTAGTAGAACAAACTTTCTTATAGGGTATAATGCACATGTGTGTTTGGTGTCCTCGACACCATTATGCAATTTCAATCTCCTGATATATGACAAACACCTGATATACATGGCCAACTTGACACCTAAGGATGCCTTTACCCCTTTGCGATCTAGATGGCCTAACCAGTTTTCATAAGCGGCTATAAAATGTTATGCAGTGCAAAATTTAAAATGCTTTACATATCCCCATAGCACATATCTTTCAGACACAGAAACTATACAGAGTTCATGGTTTTTCTTTTGTAAAAAAATTTTTTTCACAGATTTACAAATATTTACATAACTTTAACATTACTAGTGCACACAAAACATAATAATTTCAAAATGAATTGTAATGTAAACAATGTGCACTAGCTATGGAGTTACATTCAAAAAGGGATATGCTTATCTAACAGTGAAAAATAAAGATGCAGAACTGTATTCCTAACACTTGATATTTTAACAGCAGTATACAGGACTGCTATAGCATTATATAATATATGTATTCTAATATTGTAAATCATCAGGGATTTTGTGTTTCTAATAATACATTTGTGTGTTATTTTCTACAGTTGGTAAGATGTTGCATGTGCTAGCTTTCAGGGTCTTGCAGTTGCTATATCCTTGCCTCACTCAAAATAGCCACCTAAACTCAGTCAATTAGGCTCAGTAATGTACCTGTATATTTTTCACTCAACAATGAATGAGGTGCTTCATTGTACTGATTTTTAAACCCAGTAAGAACTCTTCTATCAAATGTTATTTAATTTTTAAATGTTATGGTATATATATTTCTCAAGGCTGTTTTCCAGTCTTCGATATACACCAAGCTGGGAAACATACTCTCTATAGATTTGTTTAAAGCATTTGATGTGGCCAAATGGCCCTGCCTCTGGAAAGTCAAAGTTCAGGTTTTGGTCTTAAATTTACTCAATGACTTTGAAACCAATTGAAATAGCAGGAGGCACTAGGAATGGATGCCTGACTTTGCCTCTTTTGTTTGTAAATCCACCAGATCCCATGACTAAAATAATAGTAATATCCCCAATACCAAGGGGCTTACAATTGGAAACTTTGAGGAGAGACTGTCTGGGGACTTGTGTGTTTAGCAGACATTGAAAGACTGTTCCATGCCCTTTTTCCTGTTCGAAATAAGTCTGGCAGTTTTTCATGTTTCATGTGAATTGGCCTCATGTCTTCCCCATTGATCTAAATCCTAAAGAAACTGGTAAGACCAAAATTATAAATCGCACAGAGCATTTGGGAGTGCCCCTCTATCTACCCTGTTTGTTTTTATTTTTCTAGCCTCGCAACTTTGATTTGTCTTTTGGTAGTGTTTAATACATGTATTGCCCTGGAAAGTACAAATGTAACTTTTCATGACGTATTTTGCAATGCTATTACCCATCTAGCTGCCTCTCCTGCCCCTTTCATCCATAAAAGCTTTTTCCTTCTTTTTTTCAAGGAGGATCTTATCAAGTCAACTTTTCTAATTTAAAAAAAAAAATTGCTTGTAAGAAATTTAGTTTACTAGCAGTTACTTTTTCAAATGCTACTATTGAATCGACTGTTTTAAGATGTGATCAAACGAGATGAATCTCCCTTTATTACTCAGTCCTACAAAATACTGAACCATGCCCACTCAATAAGGCATGGTTTCAAAAGCATAAAGATTTTTCTTCAGACGTGGCCTTGAGTAGAAAGAAGTGGTTATAGATACATGGAACATTATTTTATCTAGTGATAATCTCATGCAGCTTGGATTTGTATATTATACAGCAGCTAAACTGTAGCAGATGAAAAACTGAACACTGAGACCTAATTAAATGCTTCAGATATCGGGGGACTTTTTTGCGCTTTTTTGGAGTTAACCATTGGTTTACCCATTCTGACCTAAAGTAATAGACTTTATGTATTCTGCATCCTCTTTACCAAATATTTGTACCCACAGACTTGTATTTTTGGCATTGTTAATGATCCAGTCCAACTTAAAAAGGACAGAATGCTTCTTTAACCACTTCAGGACTGGCATGTTAAACCCCCTTCATTATCAGGCCATTTTTCAGATTTCAGTGCTGTGATAGTTTGACTGAAAATGACTCTGTCACACAACACTGTACATTAATTTGTGTGCTGGGCCCGCACGCACACTAGAGATTCTGGGATGACGTATCGCTACGTCCTCCTGGAACAGTAGGGTTTAGAACTGGCCGTATATGTAATGTGGCCGGTCTGCAAGCAGTTAAATATGTTTGCTCTGTGCTAGAAAAATACCACTTAACACTCCAGCCTTATATTTAGCCATGCACGTTTGTATAGACTCCTCTCCTGTACTGAAGTGGCTTATTCTGATTTCACTGCACACTGTACGTTTCACACAGGGTGCATTAGGAGATGCGACAAGTCAGATAGAGGCTGCCTCATTTCCTGGCTCACCCCCTTCATTCATTGGATTTCTGTATTTCAATCTTGGAGGCTCAGCATTACATGACCTAGGCAGTCTGCATGCAAATTCAGCTTGCCTGACATCCACGCATTAAGGCATTTTAAACTTCGCCTAACTCCTCCCAAGAGCCAGCCCACTGCTTGCTTCAGAGATGAGGGCTCTTGAAATGAGTACTGAGACGGTGTTCTGTGATGTGTTCTATGTACAGCACTCTGCATTCACACAGTGCCTACTGATAAAGGTGATATGTTAAAGTGATAACTCGAGGAACATTTGCCTTTTTCAACCATTTATTCACCAAAAATATTGATAGTTTTGATGTAATGGTGTACAATAGAAAAAGTAAGTACTACCTTGGTTGCAGAACATTGCCCCCTTTAGCAGAAATGACTTCTGGTAGGCATTCTGCACAACTGCCCAAAATTTTATGACCATTTCTCCAAGCAAAATTCCTTCAGCTGCAAGATGTTTGTGGGTTTCCTTGCATGGACTGTCTTTCACATTCTCCCTATAAAATTTCAGTGGGAATCAAATCAGGGCTTTGTCTAGGGCAGTCAATTACCATTTCTTCTTCTTGATCCATTCTTTGGTGGATTTGCTAGTGTGCTTGGGATCATTTTTGTGTTGAAAAATCAATTTCCTGTTTAACTTCAACTTTTGGACAGATGACCTTACATTCTCATCAAGCACATTTTGATATGTTGTAGAATTCATAGCTGACTCCATGGCTGCAAGCTGCACAGGCCCTGAAACAGCAAAACAACTGTCACAGTGACTTAGCCTTCCTCATTCACCTACCTAATTTCTGTCCCACAACTGCAGACACGTCCACGTTTTGCCCAGTGTCTCATGGCTGCATCACATGACACATGGCTGCATCACCCTGCCACCTTAGTACCTTACTGACAATGCACCTTGTTGCCAGTACAGCTGTACTACCAGTACATCCTGCTACCTCATCACCCTGCTACCAGTGCAGTCTTGCTACTACTGAACATTAATACCAGTGCAACCTTGCTTTCATGGTTTGTTTTGCTGTCACTAGTACTCCCTTGTACCATCTGTGATACCTATGCCATTAGTGCTATACATTTTACTTGTACTACATGCTACAGTTTTTTTGCAGCCACATTTACAGTTTTCTGGGCACCTACTCTCCACCGTGTCCATGATTACTTGTTGAGTGACCTGGTGGTAGCTTGCAGCTAAGTCCAAACTTCCAGGAGGGGGTCCCTGGCAGAACATCAGCTATCTCTTAGACTCCACTCTCAGAGAAAGTGGTCGTATTGAGGAAAGGGTCTACACCTCTGGTTCGTGACACCAAACCATAACACTTTCATCAGTATGTTTCATAGTTGGTATGAGATTCCTCTCCTGAAATGCTGTCATTGGTTTGCTCCAAACATGTCTATGTTGCCAAACAACTCTGTCTTTGATTTATCAGCCCATAGCACATTACTCCAGAAGGACTGATTTCAGATAATTTGAAGATCTTTATAAACCACTTCCTAGGCTAATATACAACCTTCTTTTTGAAAGCCATTGAGAGCTCTTTTGATCTTGGCATTAGGGTGCCACACACCTCCATATCAAAGAGCGCACCAGACCGTAGATATTAAAGATTTTAAAAAGACAGGTTCCAGCTGCATACTCCCTGAGGAGGTTTTAGTCATTGGCACCTAATCTAGAACACCTTGCTCTAATGTAATTTGCAATATTTTTATTGATCTAAGATTGAGAGCAAGAACATCGAATGGATGTGCATTCTGGGCGGAAATTTTTTTTTCTTCATGATGGAGGAGTATGGTTCTATTCCGCCTCCATATCAAGACGGATATCTAACAAAGTAGTCAGAAGTTGCAGTAAAAGGTTATTAATGCTTATAAATCATAGTTTGGGCTGGAGGCCATTATCAGGATATCCAAGTATATTAACCTAACAATAGTATTAAAAGATACGAGCCAAATGGGTTAAAGGAGGAAGAAGTGGGGGAAGATAGAGAAGTAGAAAGGGGGAGTTATGGTGGAGGCTGATCAGGAGAATGTGGCAGAGGAAGACCGGTCCAGGTGAACATATGTCCATATTGCTAAATTGTTAATAGGGTTTGGCCAAAGTTGTTTAGGCATGTAGCAGTCTATGCAAGGTGACCAAACTGCTGTAAACCTATGCATAGTGTGGTGCAGGATTGCAAATATATTTTCATTATTTAGACCACATAATGTTTCTTTTAACTTGGGTAATAGGCAAAGCTGATTTTGAGTTCTTTGCAAGAGTTTGGCTGTGGTAAAATAAAAGCAATATGTTTAAATGATGTTGCATTACAGCCTTCAGGTTCAAAGTACATTTCCACTTTAGCAGCCAAATTGGAATTTGTTGCATGTTCTCATTCGTATAGCATAACTTAAAAAAATTAATAATTGCTGCTTTATACTGGCCTACCTAGCCTCTCCCCTGTGTAATGTTAAGGAGGGGACTGTGGAAAGTTATGTTTACTCTAATTAACGTTAAGATCTACAAGTAATAACACTATGTTACAGGGGGCACTGGGTAGAGAGAAAAACTGCATATATGTCATTTTTTATATTATCCATATTTCCATTTTAAAAGGTAACTTTCTCATAAATTTTAAATACCCTTTTTAACCCCCCCAATCTCCGACGTTAACTAACCTATCATTCATCAACCTGACTGGATGCTTACCATGTTTTTGCAGACGAGGCCCACCAAAATGTTTACATCTCATCTGACCAGCCTAGATCTTCATCTCACTGTCTATGCCTACGCAGCGATCCCCTTTGGCTACCACGGGGCAGTCTCATGAGAATCTCCTTCTTTGGGAGACTACCCCTTATAAGTATTTGGGGATCGACTTCCCAAGCAGGGACAGTGGGTGGAAGATCCAGGCCAGCCAGATGTAAATCTTTCCTCTGATGTGCTGTTTTTTTAACTACCTCATAGTTCTGTGGAAATCCATGGTTATGTGCTACTTGTTTACTTTTAAAACAAATTGCTGCAATACCTCTTTAATGAATTTACCTTTTGATTATGCTTAAAAAATTTGCAATTATCAGCCTCACTCCATTGCAGATCATGGCTGGCTGAACAGTTTTCATCCTTCACATCACCTGACAATATTTGAACTTTTTAGTGGAATATCATTTAATCTTCTCCCATGTTTGCATACATATAAATATAGTTTGTTTATAAATAAGGAAGCCCTCATTATTGGTTCAGTTATTCTTTAAATTATAGCGAGCATAGCACACACAACAAAAGGCTGTTAAAAAAAAAATCATCATGTTATTTTATGGGAGGCTTTTTTAGGGCCCAGTCTCCTCTCCCTCTTCCCAAAAAAACATCTGCCAGTTTTCAGGCACCACAGGAAGAAGGAGGGAAGAGGCCAGCTAAAGGAACGAGAGAGAGAAGTAGGTAAGCCATGATAACAGCATGTTATTTATTAGTCTACATTATTACATCAAGCGGCATGTTATTGTTGTGTAAATCCTAAGGCTCATTGTGAAATCTGTGGTCTATTCATTTATGTGGTATAAATACACTATATCATTACAAGGACAGCATGCTAACACTGATAACATTGTTATGTTACATGCCTATAAAAAGACCTTGGCCATTGTCAATGTATTTATTTAAAGTAGCATCATGTTACTACATTGCATGTCTTTGGGCACTCCAAACTGCACAACATAAATTACCCATGGACATTATGCATTCTCATCGGAATGATCCATAGCACAGTGTTCATTATTTATTTGTTGGTATTGTGAGTAGATGCATAGTTACTAATGAATGCCTTGTTTTCCCACAGGAGGCTCGTAATCTAAAAGACATTCATGACACAATGGAAAAAGGACAAGTTCTGCTGCAGCAGAAGGAACAATGTCTGCAGGAGCTAGAGAACTCTCTTCTAGAGGAGGTACAATATCCATCATTGGTAATGGATGAATTCTGGGAATATTTTAAACTATCCATTTTAAATATAGTATCCGTGACAAGCAATCTTGTTTTGGTTCATTTTATTATATATTTTTAGTGTGTGTGTATGTGTATATATATATATTAGGGATGCACCGATACCGATACCAGTATCGGTATCGGTGCCGATACCGAGTATTTGGGTGAGTACTCGTACTCGCCCAAATGCTCCGATACCTAGCACGAGTACTTCCTGTATCAGGAAGCCGGGCAGCGCATCATCACACGCTGCCCGGTTTCCTGATTGGCCAGGAAACGGCTCCATGCTCTCTGGTCACTTGTGATGAGAGAGCATGGAGCCGACTTACCGGCCAATCAGGAAGCTGGGTAGCGTGTAATGACGCATCGCCCGGCATTCTGATTGGCCCGGGAAGCCGGCGTCAGGCTCCCTCGTCATCTCATGAATCATAATATTAAGAAAGTGACCTTAAAGCATTAGTTTGTATTGCTTTAGAAAAAAATGTGACCTGTCCCTTTAAGAAAAAGTATCGGTAATTGGTATCTGCGAGTACTTGATCAAAAGTATCGGTACTCGTACTCGGTCTTAAAAAAGTGGTATCGGTGCATCCCTAATATATATATATATATATATATAGTGTGTGTGTGTGTATGTATATATATATATATATGTATATGTTCTCACATATCACATATAAACATTTAGTACAAAGGATTCCTAAGAGTTAGCATAGCTGCCTGCTTTCAAGCACAGTTTGTCTCATTGAAACTTCAGATTGAGCCCTCAAATAAGAGATGGGTCACTGCTGATGAGTAAATAACTGACTTCTTTCATCAAAGCCTTAAGGGCCTGTTCACAGGAGATCAGGTCCTGATCAGGTGCTGATCAGCAGACGTGGAGCTGCTGATGCAGTGCGTTTTTGACGCGTTTTCGGTCCGGATGCTGACAGTTAATTTTTTGTCAATATTGATGACATCATAATAAGTGGAGCAAGAATACAATTTTTTCTTTTTTTTCCTCCTTAGCTGTGTTGCGTTTCCGTTCCATTTTCGTTGCGTTTCGTGCGCGTTTGCGTATCCGGACCTGACAAAATGTGACATGCAGTATTTTTTCTGTCGTAAGCTGAACGGACTGCGCACGTGAGAACTGGAGCCCATAAAACACATAGGGATACATTGGGATGCATTTTGAGTGCAGCAGCGTACAGAGCCGGTCAGCACACAAAACGGACGTCGTGTGAACAGGCACTTAAAGGGTTACTAAACCCTCCGTTTTTTTTGCATACATCTGCTGCTAGCAAGCAGTAGATATATCAAAAAAGGGAAAAAAAAACAAAAACGCGTTAAAAGCGGTTTAAATGTACCGCTGCCTTCGCCGCGTGCTGCCGTCCGAAAATCCGAAACTGCTCGGGCAGCCGCAAAGCATCTTGGGGCGGGCGCATGCGCAGTTCGGATTTTCAGCCGGGAGCGAGGAGAGACGCAAGCTAAGTCTATGGACGCGTGCACCTGCATGCAGACACCATGGGACAGGAAGTTCCAGCAAGGATAGAGGAGTCAGCGCTGGATCAGAGAGTATACATTTACTTTAAGAACAGTAGGAAGGAAATACTTCCTAAAACATATTCTCTGTATGGCCAGTTCACAGCATCCAGTGCGTTCATCGCACAGTTCCGTGGCATGAATGCACTGGATCGCAGAGCCTCCCCACGTTCTGGGGCAGGAGGGTGCGTGGAGGTTCCATTCATTTCAATGGCACAGCAGACATGCCTCCCGTCCGCAGTGTAATTGCCTGCACCAGAACGCATGGTACCGTAATGCCCTGCTGTTCATGCCATGGGACTGTGCGATGAATGCACTGGATGCTGTGAACGGGCCCTCAAGAGGTGATGTTCAATTAAAGCCTCTCTGGGACATTTTCTTGGCAACTTAGTTACCAGAAAAAAAAGCTTAGAACTATGTCACATATCTTCACTGAGTAATTAAATGCATTTCCTTATGCTTGGGATACTCACAGTATTTTAGGCCTTTGTGTATTTCTGTGGAAACATTCAGCATGTTTACTGGTAACTACATCCCCTGTTCAGTAACTTGATTCTGCTTAGTTGCCCTAATCTGAAAAGTTAAAATTCTCTAAAATTCGGGGTAAATTTATGTTTGAAATGTATTGGAAAAAGGTTTGACCCGCTCAAGCATGTGAACGGATGCTCCTCAGCAATTCTCTGTCTTGCTTATCCTGACTACTGCCTCAATTCTAAAGTGCTTGTTGGGCCTACTCAAACGTCATTGCCCTCCTGTCTAGCCATACTGTTTCCAAAGCATCATTAACAGTCCCACAGGAAGCTCAGTCAGGGTTGGAGAGTGAAACAAGATGGTCCCCTCCTTATCTTTGAAGACAGCGTACTTTCCTCTTCAGCCCCAGTGCAGACAATCAACAATAAAGTGCTGGATACCTTATCAATTGAGGAAGTCTTGCTTATCCAATAGGATCATCATTTATGGGGTTGTTGTAAGGTGCAGAAGACCCTGTAACGATCACGGGGGGGCCCTCTACTTCCTTGCTGGGCCCCCCCAAGTGGCGGAATGCCAGGGCCCGGTCGCAATTGCGACCGCTGCAACCCTGGTAGTTCCGCCAGTGCCCTGACCCCCAAAACATTTTTGGAAGAGCTGTTTCTAAATGTAGCAAATATAGTTTTTTCCAATACTTTTGTGGTAGAGTAAGCCCACCTCACAGTACCAACCTCCCACCCCTGTCTCCTGGAGGACCTTGTACTTTTATTACAGAATTTTTAAATATCAGGGACAGTGCCACATCTATATGTCTTTTTGGATAGCATGTCAACATATGGCTTAACTGCACCAGAATCTCCGTGTACTTTTGCTTTAAAACCTCGATCCAGGTTTACAGAAGACAAAAAATGCCTTTAGGTGGCAAATTTAAAACACATAGGGGGGAATGTATCAAAACTGGAGCAGACAGAATCTGTAACAGTTGTCCATGGCAACCAATCAGCATCCCTTTTCAGTTTGCTCAGGTGAGATTTGAAAATAAGACTGAGAAACTGATTGGTTGAAGTGTAAATATGCTCCAGATTTTGTCTGCTCCAGTTTTGACAAATCCCCCCCAATATGCTTTTATCATGCCCTCTATAGCACAAATGATTAACAATCGCAAGCAAAGATCCCCCAGACCACTTAAACTGTTTGATCTGATTCTTCAGTTATGGCTCTTCTGTTAGTATGAAAATTCCTAGTATGTAGTATGGGGCTTTCATTGACTTCCTTTCCTATGTTACCACTGGGATCGTCAATATAGTTCCTCTGATTACACTTTGTAATGAACCATGGATAGATGCTTTAAGTTAAAAGTATACTTTAGTCCCCTATGTTACATGCACCATGACTCTTTCGTGACCTTTCTTACTAATTACCCCTACAGCTTAGTAATGAAAATTTGGATGAACCAGTTTGGTCATTACCTTGTATGCTTCAAGAAAGCAGCTGTACACATGAAAATACCCTTTTGCATGGCCTGTTCTGTCAGCTCTATATTTGAAGTCTTTCTGTAAAACAGACTAAAGTGTTTCAAAAGACTGCGAATGCCCTGCATTTCTTGACTCTCAAGAGCTGGATTATTTGTTTGTCTGTCTGTCTGTCTGTCTGTCTGTCTGTCTGTCTGTAAGTAAGCAGTGTACACTGGGATTCAGTACCTGCGGGGAACTGTGAGATTTGAACATTTGTGTGTCAGTCCTAGTAAGCCTGGTAGAAAGCTCTGTCTTCTCTTCCACTTGTGTCTACACTCTCCCGTGTGTCCTCTGGTATTTCTATGCTGATTGTTATATATACTAACTTTGGGCCTGTGGATCTAAAGATTGATCAGTGCAGAAGATATGTGTATATATACGTATTTACTAGAGATGCACCAATACTGGTATCTGTGCAGATACTGGGCATTTTCACATGTACGCGTGAAAATGCCCCGATACTAAGCGTCGATATAGGCACTTTACATTTTTGAACTGAAGCCAGCGCTGTAAACAGGCGAGCGGTTCACAGGAAAGCTGCAGAGGTCCTCAGCAAGGCAGCCTTTCTGTAAACCATGGCGCCTGTTTTTAAAGCGCCTGCCGCACATCATCTCCTCCTTCCTAAAACTTTGCCCCCCGCACACCAGCTCCCAGACTAACTGGACCCATGGTGAGTCCCCGCACAGCCCATCTGAGACCCCGCACAGCCCTCCCAAGACCCTGCATAGCCACACTGAGACCCTACACAGCCCTCCTGAGATCCTCTGCTGGAGACAGGAGGCCAGCACCCCGGAGCAGCACAGAGTATACAGCTTAATTTTATTCTGCATTATTGTTTAATGTACGGATGCACCAATTCCCGATACCAGAATTGGTATCAGTGCCAATACTGGGCCTTTTTTAAGAGTACTCGTGAAAATCCCCTGATAAGAATCGTCGATACTGGCTCTTCAAATTTTTAAACAGGAGCTGCTGACGTAAAGGTACCTCGCCTGCTCGGGACCTGCAGCGGCTGTCTTTTACAGTGGTGACACCCGCCCATACAGCCATGGTTACACCCGCCCATACAGCCCTGGTGAGATGCCGTACGCAGACATGGTTCAACCCCGCATAGCCTCCTAAGACCCCGTGACAGTCCTGGTGCGACCCCATCCAGCCCTTGTAAGACCTCACACAGCCCTGGTCAGACTCCGCACAGCCTCCCCGAAACACCGCACAGCCCTGGTAAGCAACAGAGTATGAAGCTTATTATTATTCTGCATTGCTGTATAATATATTGCTGGGTTTGCAGTCCTCTTTAGCTGGTGCCAATCTGCATTGCTGTATAATGTATTGCTGAGATTTGTAGTCCTCTATAGCTGATGGTATTCTGCATTGCTTTATAATGTATTGCGGAGATTTCTAGTCCCTCTACAGCTTGATGTCAGTGGCAGAACTACCAGGGTCGCAGCGGTTGCAGCTGGGACCGGGACCTTGTGCTCCATCACTGTGCTAAAATCATTAGTCTGTATTGTTTTAGAAAAACTGTCAAATTACGCTAAAAAAAAAAAAAGTATCGGTAATGGGTATCGGCGATTACTTGCGAAAAAGAATAGTTACTCATACTCAGTCTGGAAAAAATGGTATTGGTCGATGTATCCCTAATAGTTATGGCATATGAAGCCTTTATTTTTAACAGTTACATATATTTTTAAACTGTTGGGTACAAAGCTAGGGAAAAATATAGTAACATTATTTACAAATGTTTCCTTCAGAGTTATTAATTGAGATAAATATAGATTTGAATTGTTGTCTGTGTACTCGTTCAGTTTTGCTGTTGGATTGTAAATGTTGTCTGTGCCCCCATGAAGGAGATTTCTGTCTGTTATCTATCAACTGCACAGAAAGTGAAGGTAAGTCATGAGTGAACTTTCTCTCACTTTCTGCTCTGATAACCGTCAAAAAGAAAATAAGGTGAAAGGACACTGAAAATGAGTTTAAGATAATATGATTAGATAATCTGGTATTAAAAGAAAAAACATTTGTTGTATGAATCCTAACAGTGAAAAGGTGATTACCTCTTGAGAACTTCAGTAATGTTATTATTTATACATAATTTAGCCAAGTGGTCCCAAATATATAGATCTTGGGTAATAAATCTGAAAGCATATGAGCCAAATTTTCTGTAGCTGTCATCAAATGGAATCAGTAGTGGAGCTAACCCAAACATCTTGGATGCTATTTTTAACTGAATGGGCAGCGCTAGTTTTCCAAACCAATCTACACCAATGTTTAGTCAAATACGTGAAGTATTTAGGCTGAAGCTGCTGTGATATAGACCTCTAGGGTCTAGTGAATGAATATAGAATAAATACACAGCGCTAATTACTCTAAAGTGAATACATGTGTGTCTGTACATAGAAACCGTGTCAAGTTGTCAAATCATACGTGACTCCCATGTATATTCAAAGTGCATACATTCAGTGTTTTATATGCAAGTGGACAACATTAAATCAAGTCCGACATCCAGATACAGTGTTTAAATCGAGAATGAAAAAATGTTGTGTGAACAAAGTGTTAAAAAAATTCCTTTGTGATCACAATAAATAAGTATCTTATTAACAAACTATAAGTGATGTATTCCTATAATAAAAAAATAAATCTGTGATCTTTGTTTGTGCAAAACTTTAACCACTTGCCGTCCGCCCATTGTAAAAAAACGGACGGACGGCACTGCTGCATTGGCGGGTTGCCGTCTCCAGACAGCCTTTTTTTCTGCTCGCGCGCGCCCCCTAGCGGGCACGCACGGGCAGAAAGAAAAGACCCGACCAATGCAAACACCCGTTACCGGGTGTTTCACATATAGGCGATCAGCGGCTCCATAGCCTGCCGATCGTCTATATCTGCTCGTTTCCACCGCGTATTACATCACTTATTTTTTTTTTTTTTTAAATATATAAAATAAAAGATATTAATACAATATGAAAGTCCCTGTGGTATTTTTCAGTCCATTCCAAGTGAAAAAAGGTAACAAAGTGTTTCAATATATTCGGTGATGTACATTCAATCCTTATTCTGGGGAGTGTATTGAGATCAATACCATTCCCCTAACAGTGTGTACTCACCCCAGGTATTCGGCTGTAACAGACAGCCCCACACGCTTGTATTTAACGGAGTAGGATAGTTTGATGTGTCTTGTCGGCACCTTCTCTACCATCAATTCTCCAGCTAAAGAGTGCTTGTTCTCTCATGCAAAGAAAGAGAGGCCCTTCATAGTGTAGTTAAAAGGTGGTTTATTCGTACATTTAAAATTTAAATCTTATCTCTGGATTTTAAATTTTAAATGTACGAATTTTTTAAACACTTTGTTCACACAACATTTTTTCATTCACGATTTAAACACTGTATCTGGATGTCGGACTTGATTTAATGTTGTCCACTTGCATATAAAACACTGAATGTATGCACTTTGAATATACATGGGAGTCACGTATGATTTGACAACTTGACACGGTTTTTATGTACAGACACACATGTATTCACTTTAGAGTATTTAACGCTGTGTATTTATTCTATATTCATCTTGGATGCTATAGTCTATGAAACATTTGGTTCGCAGACCTAGATTCACTCCATTTAAATTTCTGCTCTTTTACTTTTTCTACTGCCATATTTGTTTTGGATTTAAAGGGAACACTGTAGCCTGAATACTTCTCCTTAATTTCTCCGTACATTCAATAAAAAGGCAACCAAAGAAATAATAGTGTAAGGCACTACCTGCTAAACAAGTGGTTCTCAACCTGTGTAACCTCGGGACCCACATGTTTCCTTGGTCATTAAGGCGTGTCACTGCAGAGGGTGTCGCGACCCACTTTTGGGTCGCGACCCAAGAGTTGAGAACCACTGTGCTAAACAATTGTCCAGTTCACTGTCCTATAGACTTTAGGGGGGCCAGACTGTTGTCAGTGGGGGTAGAAAATGCCCCGGCGTCAGTGGGAGTAATCAAGGCAGATAAAAAAAGACACAAACACATTATTGAATGTATTTTTTTAATGCACGCAGCATAACTACCTGATTTTTACCTGGTACCAGCCTCTTGCAGTCTCTATACAGAGATGAACTCTTTAGTGTGCTGCTTTTCATTGGCTTGTAGAAAGTGGTTTGAATGATGCTGACCATTATCTTACCTAAAAGACTGAGGACATCTAGTGGCAGAAAAAAAAGTACTGCTGCGGACAGCTCTGGATAGCAGGTAAGTATTGCAGCAAAATCAGCTTTTTAATTTTTCCTTTTATTTCACCATCCATTGCTTTTATTTTGGCTACATATTCAGTTGAACTAAACACGCCTGAAGAATAGAGCACTACAATATGTTGATGTGAATGCTCTGTGCTGTGATGAGTTGTGTTGTCAGAAATAGTTTAGGTGCATTTATATATGTTTTCAGAATAAATAGATTGCCTTAGCACCACAATGCACACAAAGATTACACACTTTAATGCATGCAAGGGTGTGAATGGGCCCTTTAATTTTGTAGGATTAATTGGTTTTTAATCATATAAAAATATGGAAGTTTAAAAATTGATTTTTTTAAACAAACGTAAAATAAACTTTGTTTTTTTTACATTACTGCGTTTGTCATCTGCTGTTGGAGTATAGTGGAGAGTTTCCACATTATAACTTGCGTCTCTATAAATAATTGTACAATTTGGTGAAACTGAAAATAACTCTTAAGTTAGAAATTATTCCGCAAAATTGTCAGATAAGTTCTCAGAAAAATAAATGTTAATTCAGTTTATTGTGAAAGCCTTTTATCTGTCAAACTTTTTGCTTCTTAACCTTGTGTAGGTGTCTGAAGAGGAGGCATTGAAAGACAGAAGAAATAAAAGGCTTGTGACGTTCGATGTTAGTGACTCTGATGATACCAGCAGCGTGATGAGTATGGACAAACACAGATGTGAGATTCAATGACTTGTTAATACCTTTTTATACCCCATTTTTTAAACTAGGGACCCCATGAAAACATGTCACCTTTCTTCTGGTCAGTGCAGTTTAATTTTGGTTAGAGCCGTTAAGGGTTAGAAAAGGGTCCATTAAAACCTTGCTGTTTTTTTTGCTGATTAG